CTAAATCTAGTATGAAGTATACAATCTAAATTACAGACCTCAGAATTGTGAAATGTTCTAAAATATGCACTATGAGCGCCTTTCATAAAGTGACCAGGAGGACGATTGATAATTGCTGCACTGTGTACAGTGCAAAAGCGTTCGCAATCAAAACCGTTCACAACTCTGAATTAACTCACAGTCATGGTTGGTTATGATATGCAGCTTCATAATTTATTACATAGTGTTCTTCACTAATGTTCATAGGGGGGCCACTTTCACCGATAAGACATCACCGGTGTGAGGGCTGCCACATATTTGAAACCATTGGGGGTTTGACAGCAGCACGATGATGATGGGGGTGAGGGGGGGGTGTTTTCACTTTTGTCTATTGTGGGGGGGGCAGCACGTCAGGGGCCGCACTAAAGGACACCAGGGGCCCACCAGTGGCCCGCGGGGCCTTGCCATGAAGAACGCCGATCTACTGTTTACGCCGAGAAGATTTGACGAAGCTAACTTGTATGATTCAATTCCCAAACTCGTGTCTCCGCGAACACTGCCGCCATTTTGATCTTTGCTCTTCCGTTGTCAGACGACCACCTCAACCCAACGTGAACTTGTTCAGCCAATCGCAGCACATTTGAATGTGATAAGTGAACACTTTTCGAACAATTTCTCAACCTTGCCTGACTCGAACGCAACTGTTCATCTCCAGCGTTGCAGCCAGTGAGGAAAGATAAAATCGAGCTTTGCAAACACGAACAGTCGTGTGACGCAACAATGTCGCAGAAAAGTTGCACTGTTGTAACTTCAAGGGTGAGCAGGAAAATGCAAGGATGTCCAACAATCACGATGAGGTTCATGCAACGTGTACACGGCCTCAAACACCACGGCAAATGAACGCACGGTACATTCTCTGAACGCCTGTTCCTGAACACCTAATGAACACATTTTCGAAAACAATTCAAACACAATGACAATATTATATACAGTATTTCAGTGCTGCCACTATTTTCTTAGATCAGCTGAATTTTAATTGACAAAGTGCTGACTTTTAAATGACAAAGTAAAAAATACAGCTCACGGGGTCATTACACAGTGTCATCATCGCAATATAGATCCCCAGGCCTAATGACTGGACCGTACTACGGCTCCTCAGTCTGAACAACCGCAGAGTTTCGCGTCCGTCGTAACGAGTGTTCGGAAAAGGCCACGTGAAAAAAGTTCATCAGTCTTGTTATTCATTACCGTACTCAAGTTTCGCAAAACGGTGTAACGCGATGGTGAAGTGTGTGGTACGATACTTTCAAAAGGTAACCTGCGTTGAGTTTGACCTCGGTAATTAGGGCGCCATGGTGGGGAGATGTTAACTAACTCGCCTGGTGTACAAGTGGTCGTGCGTTCAATACCGACCCTGAGGTCTGTTATATATTTCGAGTTTGTACGTCCCTCTCCCTGTGGTCGCGTGTATTTTTCTCCGGGTATTTTGCTGCTATAAATTTCCACGTATATAAGCCACTTAATTGAGCTATCATTTTGGACAGGTCGCTTCTGAAAAAAAGACCGATATAGCTCAGTGGGCCTTACCTGGTAAAATAAAAGTATTGTGGTCTATGCAAACATGACTCCTTGTAAAAAAGGTGTCAGTTTTGTTGCCAGATCAAAGGGTAAAAAAACAATTATATTTTTTACCTGGCAAATGAGGTTCCAATGGTGTTAATGCTTACCCCGAGCTCTCACACTTTGATGGTGCATTGTCTTTGAGTTGTGCGCCTTTTGGCGTCATCTGGTCCAACACCATGTGAGACTAGGCTCTAAGGAAAGCTGTCTCGGGTGTGGACCAATCAACTTCAAGGACAGTGCATATATTATCAGAGTTATGTTTTTTTGTTTGCATTATGACTGCAGGTATTGTGGTCTATGCAAACATGACTCCTTGTAAAAAAGGTGTCAGTTTTGTTGCCAGATAAAAGGGTAAAAAACCAATTATCAAAATAAAAGTAATTTAGTTTCAGAATCAGAATCATTACACCGCCGGAATCCGATGAGCTCCAAAGCGCTTTTCACAGACGTCCAGTCGGGGCGGCTCAGAACGTGATAACATCAAACAACACAAAAACACGATAGTAGTGCAAAGTATCGGATAGGTAAAAAAATCGCTTAAAATATACAAATAAAACGAAACTATATATTTGTGTTATCTTAGCAGGTAAAGCCTACTGACATATTGACTTATTTTCCAGAAGTGACATAGGCCACAAATGATAGCTCGACAAAGTGGCTTATCACGTGTGACTTCATCAGTTTCATTACCAAGCTACATGTTGCCCCCGACGCTGTGACCTGTGTGACCTCTGTGACCTGTGTGACCTGTGTGCCAGGTGTGCCAGGTGTGCCAGGTGTGCATTGTCTGCTGCTGCTGCTATCCTCACATCATCACCAGCTGCTGACTCCAGAACGCCCCCCGTGTTCACTGCTTCTGTAATAATGTTCAGCGTTCCAATGCACGTGAAAGCCCGTGCAATGCACAACTCTTCTCGTTGTCGAGATGCCTTCGGTTGGTTTATGCGAGTGGTGGCCAAGTCTGCTCAATCGTAACAATAAAAAAAAGATAGCCCTGCAGAGTCAAGGCAACGTCAAGGTGTCTCACTCCCAAAAATGCTCATCTCCATTGAGAGCCTTGAGTGGTAGAAATTCTACATTGCCGTGGCTGAAGATAATTCTGCCCAATTCTGTAGGGCAATCCTGAAGTGGCCGTACTACTACTGCTGCTCTGTGTCTTGTTACACAGCCAGAAGGATAGAAAGGCAGGCAGATAGGGTAGACAGACAAGCAGACATTTAGATAGGCAGAAATACTGCAAGTAATTATGATGATGATAGATGAATATTCCACCAAGTTAAGTCTCACGAGACTTGTGGGGCAAGTGCTGTTGTCAATATTTTGTGAAGGCCAGCACGGCACACGAGGAAACGTGTGGCCAACACCGTGTCCGACCGCCTTTGTCTCCCCAGTGGCGGTGTCTACTTACCCCAACAGTTGCTCATTGAGTTTACTTAGGGGAGGCCCGGAACCGGTACAGATAATCGTAACTGGTGTTGGCTGTGAGCAGGAATTGGCTCAGTTCGCCGGGTTTGTAGCACAGTACACTAACCGCTACGCTAACTGCTACGCTCCCATGCCTAACTCTTCCAATCGCAAGCCTGGATTTTGCTTTGACATTACGGTCAGCAACTAAATTGATCGTCGGCAACTATAAAGCATCACTGCAGTCGCATTCTCATATGCAAAACATACAACACATACTGTATATAATAATAATGATGATGATAGTATTAATGTTTACCACTCTTGAGAAACAACACAATGAAGGCAATGCACTATGGGCGGGTGAAGATTCACAGTCAAGTGCATCAGTAGTAACAGCGTAAATGCGTTCGCATCTCAACATTGCAAGGGAACCACTTTAAGCACACCGGATATTTCACTTATTATGGAAGCCAACGTCTCCCTACTCGAGCAGATTTAAGGGCAGCATTTACCTCCATTGGAGACAGTGAAGGAAATTCGACATTCGAAGAGTATTAAACTATAAACAATTTTTTTGTTAGGTAAGATCCCACTGAGTTGCGATGTCGCTCTTTTTTCAGAAGCAACCTGGCCACAAATAACAGCTCAACGAAATGGCCCAGCGTCACATGGCAATGTATTGCGGCCAACTACTCTAAACGCGTGGTGACGTTGATTCTAAATGTGGAGGGAAATAAAACGGAGGACCTGGACAGAAATCCATGCGACGGCAATGGGGAGAACATGCAAACTCCAAATATACCGCAGGCGTCATGGTCTGGATTGAATCCACGCCCTCCTGTATACCAGGCAAGGGAGTTAACATCTCCTAGCCACCACGGCACTCATGGTGGTTGCCGAGTCTCTCCATCGGGCAGCAGTTGTCGACTTCCCACAAAGTGGTGCCTAGTTTTAGTTACCCTGGAGAGATGATAGGTTGAATTGCCACTCATGCCAAGGGCTTAGAACGCCTCACCTTCTGATTGCGAGGTGAGGGCTATGGAAATTGCTGACATCCATAATGACAGTGCTACATTTGATCATTATCAATACGTATTTTAACGACGCACTCCCCTGTTTCGATACGCACGAGTCTTATTATTTCACAGACTTCGGGCAAGAGCTGGTACCAAACATCTATTAAGAGACAATTTTAATATTTGTGCAGTCATTCTAGAGAGACCGGCTTGCATCAATGTGTACATCCCGGGTTCAGACCTCAGTGGTGCCATCTCAGTGTCTCTGGCGCGGCATTAGGCACCTAAGCTGCTAGATCGTAAAAATGAGCACCACTCTGTGAGAAGTGAATGGGGTGTGTGGAATGGACACGGTCAATGCCAGTCAAGTGACTCAACCTGTCACCCCTTTGGGGGGGGTCCACAAACAATCGACCACTTCGTAGGCAACGGTGACTGCACATCCCGCGGCACGTCCTACGGAGAGGCTGCTCTCTGCCACGGGAATGCCGAATGTCCACCGTTGACTTGGGGCCGGCCAACGGAGGTGAACGGCGGCCCCAGTCCTGCGGTCGTTTGAAGCAGGGGGGACACCTTTGCCCCGCGGCGTGATGACCGGCGTGTACGCACGTCATGAGATGCGCACGTAAGCGTGTGCGCTTGTGAACGCCCCAATTGCGCGCACCGTGCAAAACGTGCGCGTGCAATCGCGCCCATGCATGCACCCGCGGGTGCGCCACGTACGCACGCACGTACATTGAACTTCATTCGTACCGTACGTAGAGAACCTTACGGGGATGGTCGGGGGGGGGGGGAACAACGAACCAAAACACACGCAGCGGACACCACCGCAAAGAGGCAGTGATGTGACCACGCGGTGGCCGGTCACGAGCAGAACCTCCGTGGATCTCCGACGGCAGCAGACACCATCCGCACCTCGTGACCACTCACCACGTGCCCACTCACCAAGTGCCCACTCACCACGTGACCACTCACCACGTGACCGCGGCACGGCTCCTCCGACTGGCCGGAGCCGCGGTGCCGCCACCCGGCCCGGGGGCCCATGGGGGGCCTGATGAGGCCGTAGTCGTCCGCGATGCTGCCCGTGCGGCCGGGCCACTGCCTTCTGATGTGAGAAAGGACGAGATGAGAATCACACAACGCGGTGCAGTAAAAGCTCTCGAAGCCGGATAATGACTGGTGGGGGGGGGCGGGGGGTGAATGTCCTCTCCGGATATGGGGGATGTCTGGCAAAAAAAAGTAAATTATTAAGCGATAAATAATTAAGCGGGCAAATTACGAATATTAAATAACTAAATATAATAGATAACGATTTAACGATACGTAAATGTTTAAATGATGAATAAATAATTGACGATCATTATATTGCTGTTATGTATAATTACCAAACAACTCGTACAAGGCGACCACCGAAGGAAATTCATTTGCCCTTAATGACTTCAATGATTTCATTCACTGATTGTTTGCCATTTAATCTGCCACAGAATCCACTCGCTGGCCACCGCGGCCTGAGGCATGCGCTCCGAGTCGTGCACCGGCGTGGTTCGCTGTTAGCACGTCACGCCGCCCGTCATTGTTCCACGCACGCGTTCAACATTTCTCCTCCGCGATGTCCACGCCACAACCCGCGCCACGCCCAACCCTCCCACAGCCTGTATGTCCGTATGTTGAACTTATTTCGCACCGTACGTAGAGAACCGTGCGGGGGTAGTGGGGGGGAATGACAACGAACTAAAACCCACGCAGCAGCCACGACCACAAAGAGGCAGCGACGTGACCGCAGGCCGCCGCTCGACAACGAGCGCAACATCCCGTTCACGGAAGAACCTCCGCGGGTCTCTGCCCCCCGCCCCCGTCCCCGTGAAAGGCACGTGCGGCCGCTGTAAATCAACACCTTCCTCTCACGTCTCTCAGTGTGCATTACAAGTGCGCTCTCCATCGGGTAACGACGACGTCGACCCGCAAAGCGCCAGGAGGAACCCCACGAGATGAGCGGGAGAAGGCAGCAGCAGCAGCCATCTCCAGGAGCCGGTGCCAAACAATTGCCCCAGCTCTGCACTCTACTTATCAAGGTCTTGTCGGCCAATTAACGAGTGTTTCCGTGCGGGAGAAAAAACGGAGCAGCCGGAGAAGAATGCACGCATGCGATGGGGAAACATTCTATTTCTACCCAAGATTTTCGCGATACGCGGTTTGAATTCGCCCGTACGGGGCTACGCGGTGAGGCAACATTGCGTGCGCGCTGCGTGCGCTACTCGGCAGGCAGGCAGGCAGCCGTCTCTCTCATGCGGTTTCCCGTCGCGAGCCCCTCTATCTGGAACGCTTTCACTCCACTGCCACATGAGGCGAGGCAATGACAAGCCACGTGTGTGACCACTCCAATTGAGCCCATTACCGCCGCTCCTCTGGGGGGGATGAAGGTGGGGCGGGCGGGCGGGCGGCACGTACCTCCGTGCCCGCAGAGCCTCGGGCGTCGAGGTGAGCGAGCGCGTGTGCGGGGACGGCGGTGGCGAGTAGGAGTACGCGTACGAGGCCGACGGGCAGAACGCCCGGCCTTCCGAAGCCGAGCGGACCCGGGGCCCAGCGGCGGCCGGGACGCCGGCGGAAGGGGCCTGACGTGGCTCACCTCCCGCCACCGCCGCTGCCATCATCATCATCACCATGGGGGGCTCCTCGTACTCGGGCGGCTGCTCGGACGCCCGTGTAGGGGTCCTCGACCCGTCGCTGGACCCCCAAAACGGCACTGGAAGGTTAAACGATAACAATTATAATGACGTCATATCGAGTTGTAACGAGATTTCCTGCTCAATGAGCAATGGGGCAGCGGTTGGCGAGATGTTAACTACCTCACCTGGTATACGGGAGGTCGTGGGTTTGATCCCAACCCTGATGCCTGCTGTATATTTGGAATTTGCGTGTTTTCCCCGTGGTGATTTTTATTCTGGTCCTCTGGTTTTTCCCTAGACGTTAATAATCAACATGCATTCAGAGTATTTGGCTGTTTAAAATTTCACGTGATAAGCCACTTCGATATGCTATCATTTGTGGCCAGGCCACATCGGAAAAAAGAGCTATATAGCTCATTGAGCCTTACCTGGTAAAATAAATAAAAAATTGTTACAAATAAATAGTTACCTCAGAGTCGGTACTTAGTGAACTCGTTCCTCTGCGGCAACACAGAATGGAGGCATTCTCACTAATATTTGTTCATGTTTCAACATTTCTGTTTTTAGCTATTCCCCTGCATGTGACGGGCATGAGGAGGGGGAGGGAGGGACCGCCGCTGCCACTCCCCTTGGGGTGAGGCGGGCGGTCCCCTTCACCCACCACACCGAGACTTCCTGCTCAGCCTCCTCCGTTACCATCTGGGTTCCCGTGCCAGTGCACGACCAAGTTCTGAGCTTCTGCGAAGGTAGATAACCGGTGAGTGTTTACCGTGGGCAGAGCTGTCCCTGAGGGTATGGCGAATCGGGGCGACGGCCCCGGGCCCCACACTTTGGGGGGTCCCCACGGTTCGACGTCACAGTGTCCGATGTAATTCTTTGGGTAGGTGTTGGCGGGGGGGTGCCCACAGCGTGATTTGCCACGGTCGAGATGGGGTGCCACGGTGGTATACAGGCCTGCTGCATATTTGTAGTTTGCAAGTTCTCCCCATGGTCGTGTGCATTTTTCACCGGGTCCTCCGGTTTTCCCCTCCACATTTATAATCAACGTGCGTTCAGAGAATTTGGCTCCTCTGAATTTCCACTTCGTTGAGATATCATCTGTGGCCAGGTCGATTCTAAAAAAGAGCTACATAGCTGAGTGGGCCTCACCTGGTAAATACGTTAACTTAGTAATTCGTCAACCATGCGAGCAGGAGGCTGCCATGAACCCAGAGGTTTCACTGCCTTGACGTGGCGCACGTAGCACACGATGATACTGCGTGCAGCGTCTCTCCGTCCTACCAGAGGCTGCGCAGGAAATCGCCATCGTGGGAAGGAGCTGCAGCGAAGAGGAGCAGCTCAGTGCCAGCCAGCTCACATTGTGCTTGGAGCAGGACCCCAGCCTCAGGCTTACCCTGACGGGGAGAGGGCCAGTGGCAGATTGTAGACTGTGGGGCCCGGTGCCACAGTGAAAACTCATTTCATTAGAACGGATTTGTTTTGTTTAGTTTGTTGTCCTTCCCCCCGCACCTACAATTAGCACGGTTGGCTACATACGGTGCGAACAAAGTTCAACATAGATACTGTGCCAGTGGGTCGGCTGCCAGGCTCGCCGAAGATCAACGCACCGCAGCAGAGCGACAGTCTCGGGCTCTCGGACTCTGTGCGCGGTGCCCGCGGGAGACACCGCAGATGTGGGCGAGGTGCGCACCACCACGCAGCGCCGCCACGGGCGTTACCCCGCACGAGAGACCGTGGACGGTCGAGGTCCCCCCATACACACGGGGGGGGGGGGGGGGGGTGATGGCGCCTCTGCCGAGATCTCCGTATCGCCGGATGAGGCTGGCCCCGGGGGGGCTGACGTGACGCGCGAGCGACCTCGTGGGCCTTGTGTTAAGAGAGGGTACGGGCGCGGGCTGCATTGCACGCTCGGGTTTCCGATAGCCCCGAGGCGATCGGGGTTGACGCTAACTCGGCCGCGTTCCCTGCGGGAGGATGACGACGCAGCCGATGGGAGTTGCGCGCAGGAATGACCCTGCGGCGGGTTCAGTCGACGGCGTCGCCAAAACCCCCCTGCGGATGGTTTCTTCCGACGTCGAAGCGGACGTCGAGGTCGGGCAAAGGTTAAAAAGTAACGCGAGAAACCCTCGGCGCTTCGAAAGAGAAACCACCAGCGGTAAGCCAGCTTCCTGGATCAGCTTTTGTCGGACAAGTAGCGCGAGGAGTGGAGTCGCACCGAGGGGATCCGTTCGAGGCCTCGCGGCCACGGCAACGGCCGCCACGGTTTTGCCGAGCAGAAGTCTGCACTGATGGTGACCCCAACTGCTCAACGCAGCCACGGCGTGACGGTTTCTTGGCCGCACAGGGTGAACTCTGCAACGGGAAAGCCTGGGGCTACCTCGCCTTGGGGTGTCCAATGGCACAAATCGATAAAGCGGCAACGGCACTTCCAGGCAACATGAGCCCGTGACTGTTCTCCTTGGTGACTCTGTCATTAGAAGGGGAACCGCTCTTTGGCAGAGCTGCCAAGGAGTGACGTGTCTGGTGGCGTGGTGTGGTGACGTGTCTGGTGGTGTGGTGCGGTGACGCGTCTGGCGGTGAGGGAGTAACGTCGTACCTTCTCCCGCCGCGACAAAGCGAGGTCGGTCTGCAGCGCGCGACGATTCCAGCTTGTGTAGCCGACCGAACTTACTGCAACTGTCCGGCTCGTAGTCACTCTGCACCTCGCCCTGCAGGGCACAGCCGCACATGCGCACACACACACATACGCACACACACATGCACGTGCGTACATACGTGCGCACAGACACGCGTGAAATCAATACACAAGATGCGCCACGTTGATTCAGCAGATATTGTGGTTCTACTGAAGGTAGTAACGCTTAAGTCATATCGATGGTGGCTGGACATGTGGGGCTACATGACCCGGCCAACGTCAGCCTCGTCTGCGTTGGCACGTAGAACGCATCTAAGAAAACCTCCGGAACTGCGGTGTTTACTTATTTAATTAGCTCGTGCGATCACGGCACCAGCCCCCCAATCCAATCAAAGTTGGCACAGCGATGTTATCAATACAGGGCCTTTGCCACACCGAGGACCCAGTCTTGGCAAAGCAGTATTTTGCAACGTGCTTGACAAAAACACGGGGGGTGTGGGGGAATTAGAAAAAGTGACTTCGGTCGACGTTTTTAAGGGGCGAGCCTTCGTCTGGATGCGCGGCTCCTGCGGCCACCAGACAAAACGCTCGTGGGGGTTGGCGATGGATCCGGACACGCGCAATGAGAGAGAAAGACAAAACGGTGACAGCGATTCCCTCAAGCGATCCGGGATTCGTAACACGCCACGAGTCAGCAAAAAAGGTGCGATGGAAGCGTGGATGGCACTGGGAATTTGTTTTTTTGCTCAATGAAACTAAACAGAAGAGAAAATCAATGTTTTTCAAGTCCGGTCTTGCGAAAGTGTGGGGTGACGCCAGCCTCTGCCAGGGTGGACCTACGGTTGGCACCTGTGTAGTGCAAAACCCCACGACGTATTGTCAAACTAAACTATAAACTATTTTTATTTCACCAGCTGAGCTGTTCTGTAGCTCCTTGTCAGCACTGTAGCTCCTTGTCAGCACAAATCATAGCCCAACGAAGTGGCTCGTCATCGTCGTCACGTGGGAATTTACGGCAGCAGCCAAATACTCTGAAGGCGCGACGTCGATTGTAAATGTGCGGAGGGGAAAACCGGAGGACCCGAAGAAAGAGCTACAAAACCGCGGGGAGAGAGAGAGGCAGACTCCAAATATACAGCGGGCATCAGGGTCGGGATCGAACCCACGACCTCCTGTATACCTGGCGAGGGAGTTAACATCTCACCACCACGGCGCCCAATCGTGGGAAAAAGGAGAAGAATCCCTCACAATACTGGGAGAACGGCGTGTGCATGCATCGTCTCGAGTGAGTGGGGAATTATGATCCACATCGCACAACTGACAAAATACACGATTTAAATGTTTTATGTCCCCGGGATTAAAATGTATTTTAAATGTCCTCGGGAAGAACGACAGATTTCCCAGGACAGCAGCTGCCTCCTCCTCCTCCTCCTCCCTTGTTATCCCCCCTCCCTCCCTCCCGTCTACCCCCACCCGCCCTCCTCCCTGCCTCGTCAACAAGAGGATGATCCTGGGAAACCAGGACGGGTGGCAACCCAAGGTGGTCCTGCACCAGTGGCTGACATTCCACACTTTCAAGGCAGGGGGCCCAGTCTCTCTGCGATGACCACTGTTGACTTCCCACAAAGCGGAACTCGTGTTACTCTTCATCGCCATCGGCCACCATCGCTCCTAAGCGATGCTTTCTGCCCAAGCCCACTCACCGATCAACAGTCAAAATGACGTCTTTGACCTGAACACGTTCTCTAAATAACCGTGCGACGCTCCGTGCCTCTCAATGCGATTCTTAAAAGTACAGCTGCTTCGTACATTTTTTGGGGCCGATTTTCGTTTTTTTAATTGGGGCGCAGCACACACGCTCCCTCGCCTGCCGCGGCTACGCGTGGATCGGACCGAGCAGTGCCTTGCCGTACGCGGTGTGCTATGAAGAAAGGGTCATTCCCTGAAACGTCGCCCCTCTTTCTCGTCGTGGACACACAACTGTGTTGTTGAGTGTGTTGAGGTTGCCAGAGGGTGGGGAAGGAACTGCTTCCGATGTCGCTCGCGATAGGTGTTAGTCGTGAGTCTATGGGTCTCCGTGTCAGTTTGTGTGTTTCCAAACAAGTCTATGGGCCTTTGTGTGAGTTTATGGGTCTCCGAGTGAGTTCGTGGTCACAGAATGAGTCGGTGGGTCTCCGTGTGAGGTCATGAGTCACCGAGTGAGTCTATGGGTCTCTGTGTGAGTTCATGAGTCACCGAGTGAGTCTATGGGTCTCTGTGTGAGTTCATGAGTCACCGAGTGAGCCTATGGGTCTCCGTGTGAGTTTACGAGTCACCCAGTGAGTCTATGGGTCTCCGTGTGAGTTCGTGGTTCTCTGAGTGAGTCTATGGGTCTCCATGTGAGTTTGTGAGTCACCAAGTGAGTATATGGGTTTTCATGTGAGTTTGTGGGACTCCGTGTGAGTCTATGGGTCTCTCTGTGAGTTTGTGAGTCACCTAGTGAGTCTATGGGTTTCTGTGTGAGTTTGTGGGTTTCCGTGTGAGTCTATGAATCTCCGTGTGAGTCTATGGATCTCTGTGAGTCTATGGGTCCCCGCGTGAGTCTATGGGTCTCCGAGCATGTTATTTATGCTTTTCCTTTCGAGGCGGCAGTGTTAATTGAGGAGTGTGAATTTGTTTTGCTGCCCGGGGCATTGCCACTGGGGGGCACTGGTGGACCGATAGCATTGACACTCAACCGTGGCTCGTGGACACGGTGAACATGGTGGACCCGACCGTACGCAATCGACACAAAACGGAGAGACGCCTCTGGCTCGGCGGTAGGGCGAGCGGCTCGCAATCGGAAACCCGCGAGTTCACATCCCGGTTGGGGATTCACTAAAGCTCATCATCTCTCCGGGGTCCAAACAAAAATAAATGAGTCCCGATTCTGTGGGGGCAACTCAGCGGTGGTTGTCCTATGGATAGCGGGGAAGAAAGAGGGTGCCTATGGAGGCTTGGGGCAGCGCAACCCCGAGCAAGGAAATGCCCTCTCCCCCACCAATCAGGTGAGCATTGTGATTGAATCGGCCCCCAGCAATCCGAGTGGATCCACCTGTGTCCAAACAGTCAATCGCACTGAAGCCGGGGCCTGTGCCTTCTCTCGCTACGAAGCCGGTGATGTAGGCAGGCCGGCCTGTTACAAGGTCACGGGGAAACAACGCGGCCTTTGTACGGCAGCCTACAGAGAGCGCTCGGTCACCACTGAGGCTGAAAGCTCTGCGCATGGTTTTCTGTGGCGAGATGTTAACTACCTCGCCCGGTATGCAGGAGGCCGTGGGTTCGATCCCAACCCTGACGCCTGCCGTATATTTGGAGTTTGTGTGTCTCTCTCCCCGTGGATTTTTCTCCGGGTCCTCCGGTTTTTCCCTCCACATTTAGTAATCAACATTTCCACGAGACAATAAGCCGCTTCTTTGGGCTATCGCTTGTGGCCAGGCCGCTTCTGGTAAAATTAAAATATCTGAGTAGTTTAGTTTGAGTGCAGTGTGTGCGGCCGGGTGTCGCGGCAGCACTGACGTGAGCGGCTGCGCAGTGGCGGTCTCGCCGCGGCAACGTGTGGCAGGCGTGCTGCGCCAGCAGAGGGGACGGGCAGGACTCCCTTCTCCACTGCTGGTTGAACGTCTCGTAAGCCTCCAGCTGGTGGGGCCCGGCGGGCCCGGGGAGGGGGGGCGGGGACGGGCGGGGGGTGGAATGCGTGCACGGGGAACAGAACAAAGCATGGCCAGGAGAATGAACAACGGCAACCAACGCGCATAGAGGAACAATCACAAACAAGGGAACAAACACAAACTGTCATCGTCGTCATCATCATCATCGCCGAATATACCACGCCACTCGTGCAGTGCATCTCGAGGCACCCTGCATCTCTAGCCAAGGGGGAGCCCCAGTGGCAGCTGTCCCTGTGCAGCACAAGGTGAAAGCAGCACCGGCCCGCAAGTGGCCATTAGCCTGCCAGTAGGGGCTAGGGGTGGGGGGCGCGATGGCGAGATGTTACCTCCCTCGCCTTGTATGGAGGAGGTCGTGCGTTTGATCCCGACCCTGACGCCTGCTGTATTTTTGGAGTTTGCCTGTCTCTCTCTCTCTCCCCGTGGTCGCGTGGACTTTTCTTGGGGTCCTCGGGTTTTTCCCTCCACGTTTAGAATAAACATCACGCATTGAGAGTATTTGACTGCAATACCAGGTCGCTTCGGAAAAAGAGCTGTATAGCAGCTCAGTGGGCCTTATCTGTTCAAATAAAAACATGTTTTTAGTTTTATTTTGCTACGTGACTTTCTCCCATTCAGTAATTTGCGAGTAATAAATAAAATGTGGCAAATGTGGACCGTGACGCCGGCGCACAAAGGGGCCTCCTCTTTTTCAACGAACGTCACGGGACCTTGAAACGCCCACCGTGCAGCGGACGGCATGTGCGGTCCACACTTCGCCCTCACTGTTGACCAGGGGCCGCCGCTGGGCTCGACCGCCGACACGTCTCGGGATATTTCGTGAGGGCGAAGTGTCAACCACGGTGGTGGATTTGGCAAAGGAGTCGTTGCAGCCAACGTCAGAAATAGGAGAGGTCCCTCTCCTCCACGATGGTGGGAAGCGCGGGGCTAGCGGATGGGTGGGTGTGGCTATCTAACAGTGGGTGGGGCTAAACAAGGGAGGGAGGGGCTGCTAGCTTACCACCATGTGTGCGCGTTGAGCTTTCCAGGCAGGTAGTACCACCTCTAGAAGAGGGGACGACGCGCCAACAATCCACACAAAGTGTTTCATCAAGGAGCGTAAACGACCATCACGCGAACTCCGCTCACCCTCGCAGCAGCAGCAGAAGCGGCTTTTGGCTGCTGGCCATCGAACAAAGATGGTGGTCACCGAATCGCGCGGCGCTTTCAGATGCGCTTCTGGGACCGTCTGGAACGCTCTTCCAATATTAGGAAGTCACTGGAGCTATGCACTTTTAAATCATGTACATTGACAAATAATTTCTTTAGAACTGCTTTTTTGTGTTTGGTTTGTTGTCCTTCCCCCGCACCTACAATAAGCATGGGTTGTCCACGTACGGTGTGAAAGAAGTTCAACACACACACACACATACCTTGGCGAGGGCTTCGTCTATGGTGAGGCGCCTGTCCTTCACCATCGTCATGAGCTCGATGCGATCCTCGTCGCTCATCGTTATCTCGCTCGCGACGAAGTTCACGCCCGGGCTCGTGGGGGCACCTGCCAAGTGCGCACGTCACAGGGGAGTGAAATTAGATCACGGGCCCTCCCAAAAAACCCACGTCCACTGCACAAACCGTGGCAGATGGCGGTTACCCGATGATGTACGAATGTAAAGTAAAGCAACTCTCCAGTAGCATTGTTGCGACTGTGGGTCATCCAGAACAGACACCGTACGACGTGCAACGACGCGATGCCCCGATCCACAAATACGAATGAGACATCACAGCAATGATGATGGAACACCACTCTGCTGCTCCTGACGAGGCTGTCTGGCTTCATCATCTGAATGTGAAATCGTAGCCGTTGCTCTGCACCAACATCAGCCACCGTACGAAGGAAGAAGCGCGGTGTTTCCTGCCTTCGTCGGCAGTGACTAGTTCAGGTCGAGCCTTGGTCTAGCCGATGACGACCCGTAGACCACTGGCCGGGTCTTACCCTGTGGATTCTGTTACAAATGGGCCCAATTCAATTGGCTAAAACGTGATCGCATTCACGTCATTTCGGATTTATTTCAAAATAGAACGTGCATGCATCGGATTGCAATGACTCATGAAGTCATGAAAATTATCGTGTACTACCTTATGAGATTAAAACGATCGCTTGCACAAAGAAATCAGTTTGTCTTAATAGACGGATAATATTCAGTACATATGCAGTAACCAGCACACTTGAATTGACTGTTTTGTCGAATTTATTAAAACTTCTGGTCTCAACAAACTTGAGACACTGCCCTGTCTGGCCCAGGCACCTTGGCTAGAGACGCTGCCCTGTCTGGCCTGGGCACCTTGACTAGAGACGCTGCCCTGTCTTGTAGTCCTCGTGGGTGTCCGGTTGGGTGTCCGCGTAGACGTGCGGCTGGGTAGTCTCTGCAGACTCTGCCAGAAGGAGCGCCCTTTCTTCTTGCTGTCGGATTTTCCTGCACGCACAGCGACACAAACACACACAGCGACACAAACAGACAAAGTGAATACAAACACACACAGCGACACAAACACACACACATAGCGACACAAACACAGCGACACAAACACACACGCACAGCGACACAAACACACACAGCGACACAAACACACAAAGTGAATACAAACACATACAGCGACACAAACACACACACATAGCGACACAAACACACACAGCAACACAAACACACGCACAGCGACACAAACACATACACATAGCGACACAAACACACAGCAACACAAACACACACAGCGACACAAACACACGCAACACAGCGACACAAACACACAGCAACACAAACACACACAGCGACACAAACACACGCAACACAGCGACACAAACACACACATAGCGACACAAACACATACACAAAGCGACACAAACACATACACACAGCGACACAAATTCACACAGCGACACAAGCACACACACACAGCGACACAAACACACACACACAGCGACACAAACACATACACACAGTGACACAAATACACACACACAGAGACACACACACAGCGACACAAACACACACACAGTGACACAAACACACACACAGCGACACGAACACACACACAGCGACACACACAGCGACACAAACACACACACCTCTGATTAGCACGGTTGGCTATGCATACGTACATACAACGTGTAATTTGGCGAATTTGGACCGTGACACGGGCTCACAACGGCCAACTCTTTTTCAAATGTAACGGGACTTTTGACGTGCACCGAGCAGCGGGCAATTTGCAGTATTGGAGGTGAGTGCACCGGGCAGTATTAACCAGGGCGGCCGCAGGGGCTCGAACCGCGAAACCTCTGCAACGAGCGGTAAATTACTACAGCTCGGGCTCGTCAACTAGCGTCGGATCGGAAGAGTCTCGCTGGAGGCGAAACCAGTCGCTGGTTTCTATTGGCTTGAGCTTCTCCCGCTCTGAGACGTCCGCAAGTTGCAGGGTGGCGGGGCCGTCCCGTTCACTCGGAACGCACGCGAGCGGCTCAGCGTTCATTTTAATTGGAGAGGCGCAGCAGCGCCGTGGTTTTCAAAGACGTTGTTACTCACCGCAGAGAACCGTAGCGACACGACCGCATACTACGATAGCCCGGCGCCAAACTGTGCCACACGCCCTCCCGATGAAGTCATTTTATTTTAGTTTCCTTCCGGTTCTGTACATTATCGGAACCGAATCGGAAGAACAACTCACGATGTACACATACGCCATCGGAATGGGAACGGAATATACGCACCAAATCTGCGTTGACCAACGTGGTGAAGTACGGCAAAAGCACCCCCATGACCGACACGATGTGTGGGGAAGGCGTGTGGGGGGAGGCCTTCGTGAACCGGTAGATAGGGAATGGCCGATTTATTTATTTGTATTGACTGCGTTGCTTCAATCCAGAATGTTTAATTGATGGATTTGAGCGTCATTCAATTCCAAGGTGGTTGAGGTGACCTCGAAAGGTCAGAGGGCCCGAGGCAAGCCGCCGGACCCCCGCGTCCAGAATGCGCCGAGCCGAGAGCTCAAAACGCGCGGTCGGCACGGAAAGCGTTCCTGGAACGGAGACGACAGGCACGTGTCCGACTCGCAGGGCACCGCGGCATTGGGCGCACGTTGTGAAAAGGGCCGGAGCGTTTATAGAGAACGACGGCCGATACCGTAGCCGGCACGCCGGCGGGTTAGTTGGTCGGAGCGGACACGCGATGGACGGATACGCGACGGTGAACTGCACTCGCGACGCTTACCCACTGCCTCGTCTTGCGATGTCGACTTGTGCAGAGAGCTTCTGTGTCAAACGGAGAAATCAAGGACGTGGAAGGGGATTATCACGATGACGAGTGCAAGTGTTAGCCTGCGATACACTTAAATGTGTGTGTGCGTGCGTCAGTAGGGAGCAGTGGCGCAGTGGTTAGCACCCTGCGCTACAAACCCGGCGGCCCGAGTACAATTCCCGCTCACGGCCAACTCCAGTCACGATTATCTGAACTGGTCCTGGGCCTCCCCTAGGTTGACTCAGCCTCAAATGAGTACCTGGTGTGGCTTGTAAACATCGCGACTGGGGAGACAAAAGCGGCCGGGTTGTGGTCCTGGCCACCCACCCCCTCGTGTGCCGAATTAGACCTTCACAGGGGCTCGCTAACAGCACTTGCCCCAAGTCTGTTTCAGGCTAAATGGGGGATCTTTGTATTTGTACAATGCAAGGGAATTCCCTGTACGGCGTTTGGTGTGCAGACGCACGTGGCGGTGCTTACAAAAGATTTCCCAGCAAGGGGAAAAAACAAAGGGGAAAAAATTAAACCCCTCAATATTCCAATTAGTTTCGTCGGAGCGATAAAAGCAAAAAATTTACATCACCGCAAAGATCATTTCCAGAACGTCACTAAATAAAGAACGGGGCATACGAGGCAATTACATTCCCACAACTATCGTGTTTTACACCAACGTTTAATTGAGAGATATATTCAAATGGGCGTTATTTTTTTTTATGGTGGCGCTGTATCCCGCGAGCAGGCTGTGCCCGCCGTGTCGGACGTAAAATCCATTTTGTGGCAACAGAAAAACCAAAAAACCAACAACGGCAACAGAGCGCACCAGAACGGGCGCACTGACGCCGGTAATTCGTGACAACGACAGCGGGCGCCATGCCACGGGGGCCCTTCGAGGAGCTGCCCGAGTGGCGTTTCATTTTGGTGGCCGCGGCGGTGGCAGCATTTTCTTTTTTTTGATCCGCTACGTAACCCGCACGCGCGTTATTGCCTGTACGTTCCTAACGCCGGACAACAACAACAAAAATTACTGGCAGATTCAAAAGACCACCATGAGTTGAGAGGAAACCTTGTGGCCAAGCTTTTGTTCGCTTATCGACAGCGCATTTAAATACAACCCAACACATGAGCACACGACCACACAAAGACAAAGATCCCCCCCCTATAGCCTTAACAGACTATTGGAGCAAGTGCTGTTAGCGAGCACGTATAAAGCCTGGCACGGCACACGAGGGGGTGGATAGCTCGCATCACGCCCGACCACCTTTGTCTCCCTAGTGGCGATATTTACACACTGCACCCATCGCCACCTGGTGTTGGTGGCCGTGAGCGGGAATCGAACTCGGGTCGCCAGTTTCGTATGCAGCGCACTAACCGCTCCACCACCGCTCCCCTACACACGTACACAAGGAGCGGCCGCCGAAAATTTCGGGCAGTTGACCCTCCTGCTGCTGCTGCTTCTGCAAGAGTCTTGAGACTCGGCGAGGCTTAGCTGGGTACAGGAGCTCGCTGCAGTAGTGAAAACCCAGCGGCGCTGCGACTAGCTCGTGCGTTGCACTGCAACGGCTCTGCGGTGATGACTTCGCACTTAGGACACGTTCTGTATCATTTGAATCCTCCGTAATGGCTCCTCAGCCGGCTATGCCCCTATATACAGTAGTCCCTCTTTTAGCGTTTTTAATCCGTTCCACGAAAATTACTGTGAAGCGAAAAAAGCTGTTAGTCGAATATAGGCATTGCATGAGTCTCCAAGAGAGCTATTTCCACTGCCAAAGCAGAAACCGCAATGTAAACGAAGCAATTCGAGGTCTAAAACGCTAATAAATGGTCATCACTGAATGGACGAAAGCACGGCTCAGCCCCACTTAGAGTGCTCGGGATTGGCCAAAATTGGCGCCGCGTGCATAAAACGTGAAGACTTCCCGTTAGTCAACAATGTTAATGTTCGTCAAAACCATGGGGTCCACGATGGGAGGCGAAACGTTAACTGAAAAACCGTTCACCGATGTCACTGTCAACCGAGGGATGACGGTCCTCATTCCTGATAATTGTTTTTTTACCCTTCTATCTGGCAACAAAACTGACACCTTTTTTTACAAGGAGTCATGTTTACATAGACCACAATACCTGCAGTCATAATGCAAACAAAAAAAAATGCTTACCCCGAGCTCTCATACTCTGATGGTGCATTGTCTTTGAGTTGTGCGCCTTTTGGCGTCATCTGGTCCAACCCATGTGAGACTAGGCTCTAAGGAAAGCTGTCTCGGGTGTGGACCAATCAACTTCAAGGACAGTGCACATTATCAGAGTTATGTGTTTTTGTTTGCATTATGACTGCAGGTAGTGTGGTCTATGTAAACATGACTCCTTGTAAAAAAAAGTGTCAGTTTTGTTTCCAGATAGAAGGGTAAAAAAACAATTATATTTTTACTGGCAAATGAGGTTCCAATGGTGGTCCTCATTCCTGTTTCATGTTTTTATTTGACCAGGTAAGGCCCACTGGGCTGCTGTGGAGCTCTTCTGCAGAAGTGGCCTGGCCACAATCGATAGCACAACCAAGTGGCCTTATTCTTACGTGGAAATGTATAGCAACCAAATGCTTGAAACGCGCTATGTTGATTCTAATTGTGGAGAGAAAAACCCGAGGACCTGGAGAAAAAGCCACGTGACTACGGGGAAAATGTGCAAACTCCAAATATACAGCAGCAGGCGCCAGAGTCGGGATCGAACCCACGACCTCCTGCATACCATGCGAGGTAGTTAACATCTCGCCACCGTGGCACCCTTACACCAAGACAAAGTTCCCGCCACATTGTGGCCTTTAACAGACCGTTGGGTAAAGAGCTGTTCGTGAGCACCGATTAAAGTTAATGCCGGCATGGCGCACGAGGGGACAGTGGTGGTGGCCAGCACCACACGTCCCCGTCACCTTCAACGCCTTGGCCTTATACTTAGGATAATGTATCTGTTTTAGAATCAATAACGGAATAATTATAATAATGAGTGTCAGAGGTTTCCTTACTCTAAGTCTTCCGATGGCGATGCAATGTGTCCAAAATTCGTCGCCTCCTATGAAACGGGCAAAAAAACGTGACTTTACCGAAAGAGCCAAGAACATGGGCAAAAAGCAATTACACAGCATCCGCACCCCGTCCGGCTCCCCAACAGTGCGCACACCACAGGCGGTCAGTGTCCCATTCACGTACAACACCACCCTGCAATTAATCCCAGCTGCGATGTCAGACACGGGGAAAGTGCGGAGACCTGGGAAAAGACGTGAAGGTTGAAATTAAATGAACATGCTGTTAAGTTCCACTGCAAATGCTCTGCACCGACCAGGTTGCTCAGGTTGTGAGTTCACATCCTGGTTGGGGATTGACTCGACCCATCATCCCTCTGGGGTCGGTACAACGAGCACCACTTAAATTCAACTGTTACCAAATTTTTATTTTGCCAGGTAAGGCCCACTGAGCTACGTAGCTCTTTTTCAGAAATGACCTGGCCACAAAGTGACAGCTCAACGAAGTGGCTCATCATCATCACGTGGAAATGTCGAGCGGCCGAATACTCCAAACGCGTGACGTTGATTCGAAACGTGGAGAGAAAAACGGGAGGACCCGGAGAAAAATCCACGCGACCGTGGTGAGAGAGACGCTCCACAAATACAGCGGGCATCAGGTTCAGCAACGAACCCGCGACCTACTGGATACCAGGCGAGGTAGTTAACATCTCCTAGCCAACGTGGCTGGCCTACAGGTAGACTCGCCCCCACCCCTGTGCCCCCCCTCTCAACCCCCACCACGATGGGAATGTGGAATGTCCCCCACTAGCTTCAGGGCCGTCAACAAGATGAGCACCGCCTCAAGCAACGGAGTAGTTTTTGTATCTTCCCCGGCCTGCCGGCTCCCTGAGCCCGTACGGTGACGGTACCTTGGCCTGCGCTTGGTCGCTGTCGGCGTCAGCCTCCCGTCCAATGCCCTGCGGGGAACGAGACAGCGTCAGATGAGATGTGAACCGTCGGAAGAACAAGGATCGGCAGCGGACGCAGTGGAGGAGGCTTGCTGATCAGTGAACGTGGGGTGCTCGCTGATCAGCAGTGAACAGGAAGTGGGGGGAGGGCTTGCTGGGGGTCCACTCGTGAGCCTTCACTCCAATCACCAGGTCACAAATGCGTCCGATAGCAAGGTCAATGCAGTAGTTTTCTCTGTTGGTTAAATAAGGTACCATAGAGTGTTTGACAGTGTGGGGGAGAGAAAAAAAACCCACTACAAGTGACGTGAAATGCTAAAGGAATATTAAAATTATTCTGTATTGTGTTGGTAGAATTGATGGTGGACACTGCCCGTGGTGGACACTGGCCGTGGTGGACACTGCCCATGGTGGACCATGTCCGTGGTGGATACCGCTCGTGGTGGATGCCACACGTGGTGGACACTGTCCGTGGTGGACACTGGCCGTGATGGAAACTGCTCAGGGTGGACACTGGTAACATTTGCTCACCCCGTGTAGAAGCAACCAACCCTATTGCATCATTGCCTATCAGTCTATTATCCATTTTTGCAGAGCATTGTGGGATAACACTAAAAACAGACGCAAGTCCATCTCTGCAGAACACAACAGTGGACGTCCATCATCTCAGTAGCCTTTGGGTTCTACCGTGACGTTGCGAACGTATCCATCGTTTCGCTCCTCCTTCCGGGAAAATGACATGAGGAACCGTGCAGCTGTGAACATCACCCCAGCAGCATTTGATGTTTTTTTTCTAATCAGGCCAACTCGAGGCCCGACCGCTTTTAACATTCCCAATCTCTTCAGCAGAGTCAGGCCGAGAAAAATCAATGTCGTTCTGTTGCCAGATGTTACGCGCGGGAACCACCCCACCTAAGTTTGCACCTCCGGTTTCGCGCGGTTGGCTACGTGCGGTGCGAAAGAAGTTGACATACGTACGTAGTTACGAACATCCAGCGACATCACAGGATTTATCTGACAGCTACGCATCTGCTGATGAGACTCGTACATTTGAAACCGCAACCAGACTTTGTTTGCTCAAACAGATCGTGTTATGAAGCCGTTTCCAAAGGCCAATTTGCTGATTTATGAGCACACAAAAAAGATAGATTTGTCCAGAAGTTTTTGGCGCACACAAACCGTGCTTTATACATGCGCAAAGGGTTGCATGAGAGCAAAATGCATTGAGCTTTGATGCGCGAGAAGCAATTACTGTCAAATGAACAAAAATGAGAATAAAACGTTATCCGAAATAATAATTAGGGGGCCTACAAAAGTAACGGGGTTAGCAGAATGAAAGCAATCTAAAAGAGGTCCTTCCTAACAGATTGGTTATAAACCTTATGTGTGTACCGCTAGAACCTACAGATCTCCTATTGCTGTAGACACGTCGACATAAGCGAAGAGATCCCCGTGCAACGAGCAGCGACGTCCAACAACAAGGGTGTGGTTCTGCACCCGACACTTGGCGTGCCACCAATTGGCAACACCGAAACGTCTTCAGCTGGAATACGATCGAACGTCGCCCGCCTCGCAAATGTCACAGCCGCCGGTGGTCTGCCTCCCTCGCCCGCCTCTCATCGCCACGCCGTCGCCCCCCCCCCCGCCCGCTATACTCCCCGACCGGTGCTCTGGTGAAGGAGCCTCTCGTCCGATCCCACCCACTGACCCGATCATTGAGACTCGTCTCTGCGTCTCGCCGTGCCAAATGCGCGGCAACAAAGTTTGAGGGCGCATCCTCCTCCACACCTCCTGCTGCCAAACTCTGGTACCCATCGCCCCGTAGAGCCTGAACAGATTGTTGGGGCAAGCGCTGTTAGCGAGCACCTTTGAAGGCCGGCACTGTGACACACGACGGAGTTGGTGGCCAGCACCACGCCCGGCCGCCTTTGTCTCCCCAGTGGCGATGTTTAACCACCGCACCAGGAATTCTTTGGAGGCTGAGTCGACCCAGGGGAGGCCCAGCACCGGTTCAGATAATCGTCACTGGTGTTGGCCGTGAGCGGGAATCGATCTCGGGTCGCCGGGTTCGTAGCGTAGCGCCCTAACCGCGCTACACTACCGCTCCCCACTACACTACCGCTCCCCCTCCTCAACACATCCCCTGACACTAACCTCTGGGAAACTCCTCCCTCCTCCTCCCTCATCTTCCTCCCCCCTCCTCTTCCTGCTACTAAACTCTAGAACGCATCACCCCCTCCTCCTCCACACTCCCTGCTACTAAACTCTAGAACCCATCACCCCCTCCTCCTCCACACTCCCTGCTACTAAACTCTGGAACCCATCACTCCCTCCTCCTCAACACTCCCTGCTACTAAACTCTGGAACCCATCACTTCCTCCTCCTCCACACTCCCTGCTACTAAACTCTGGAACCCATCACCCCCTCTTCCTCCTCCACACTCCCTGCTACTAAACTCTGCAACCCATCACCCCCTCTTCCTCCTCCACACTCCCTGCTACTAAACTCTGCAACCCATCACCCCCTCTTCCTCCACACTCCCTGCTACTAAACTCTGGAACCCATCACTCCCTCCTCCTCAACACTCCCGGCTACTAAACTCTAGAACCCATCACCACCTCCTCCTCAACACTCCCTGCTACTCAATTCTGGAACCCATCACCCCCTCTTCCTCCACACTCCCTGCTACTAAACTCTAGAACCCATCACCCCCTCCCCCTCCACACTCCCTGCTACTAAACTCTAGAACCCATCACCCCCTCCCCCTCCACACTCCCTGCTACTAAACTCTGGAACCCATCACTCCCTCCTCCTCAACACTCCCGGCTACTAAACTCTAGAACCCATCACCCCCTCTTCCTCCACACTCCCTGCTACTAAACTCTAGAACCCATCACCCCCTCCTCCTCCACACTCCCTGCTACTAAACTCTAGAACCCATCACCCCCTCCTCCTCCACACTCCCTGCTACTAAACTCTAGAACCCATCACTCCCTCCTCCTCCACACTCCCTGCTACTAAACTCTGCAACCCATCACCCCCTCCTCCTCCTCCTCCACACTCCCTGCTACTCAACTCTGGAACCCATCACTCCCTCCTCCTCCACACTCCCTGCTACTCAACTCTAGAACCCATCACCCCCTCTTCCTCCACACTCCCTGCTACTAAACTCTAGAACCCATCACTCCCTCCTCCTCCACACTCCCTGCTACTAAACTCTAGAACCCATCACTCCCTCCTCCTCCACACTCCCTGCTACTAAACTCTAGAACCCATCACCCCCTCTTCCTCCTCCACACTCCCTGCTACTAAACTCTAGAACCCATCACCCCCTCTTCCTCCTCCACACTCCCTGCTACTAAACTCTGCAACCCATCACTCCCTCCTCCTCCACACTCCCTGCTACTAAACTCTAGAACCCATCACTCCCTCCTCCTCCACACTCCCTGCTACTAAACTCTAGAACCCATCACCCCCTCTTCCTCCACACTCCCTGCTACTAAACTCTAGAACCCATCACTCCCTCCTCCTCCACACTCCCTGCTACTAAACTCTAGAACCCATCACTCCCTCCTCCTCCACACTCCCTGCTACTAAACTCTAGAACCCATCACCCCCTCTTCCTCCTCCACACTCCCTGCTACTAAACTCTAGAACCCATCACCCCCTCTTCCTCCTCCACACTCCCTGCTACTAAACTCTGCAACCCATCACTCCCTCCTCCTCCACACTCCCTGCTACTAAACTCTAGAACCCATCACTCCCTCCTCCTCCACACTCCCTGCTACTAAACTCTAGAACCCATCACCCCCTCTTCCTCCTCCACACTCCCTGCTACTAAACTCTAGAACCCATCACCCCCTCTTCCTCCTCCACACTCCCTGCTACTAAACTCTGCAACCCATCGCCCTCCTTCTCACTTGACGATATCGCAATTAGAAGTTGAAGTTTCACGCCAATCGCTCAGCACTCTCCAATCTGTGCTTCCGATTGCGATTAGATTTCACGATGAACCTAAGCAAACCGTCCGTCGGCGGCTTTCAATTACAACGTGCGAGCGTGCGCACGGATAGAAAAAAACAAGTCGAAATTAATTCTTATGCTTTCGAAATTAGAGATGACAGCCGACCGAGATTCAACGTCATTTCCTAGAGAAGAGTCTGCAACACATCGAAATGAGGTCCCCTGGCTGATGAAGTTCACGCACGCTGGCGCTGCCACCACGCGTCATTGATCCTGCGCTGGGTCCCACCCCGCGTCGCGGCGTCGTCGGGGCCCGGCCGATCATCTGAGGGACGATGACCGCTATCCGCTCGACCTTACGCCCCCGAGGAACGAGAACGGTGCATTGCGGACGCAAACGTGGGTCCGTGCCCATCTGCACCCGCAACTCTGAGCCACCGCTGGAAATTCCGCATTCTCGTGGCAGGTGCCAGCCATACGCGGGCACAGCCGTCGTCTGACTCGCGAACAATGGGGCACTCAATTCACGTCGGCATCGAAGGGACCACGATGGGCTACGCCGAGGCCTGGCCGGTTTCGATCATTGTCCGTCTCCGCCGCACCTCCGATTAGCTACGTACGGTGTGAAAGAAGTTCAACGTACGTGCGTTCGAACTCCGTGGCTCTCGCGAGTCGCACACTCTAACCGTGGCACAGATGCGGACGGTGCGCGCCGCGCATCACAAGTGGCTGAGCGTAATGCACTGCACGGGCGCTCCATGTCAGGGTGGTGAAGATGACATCGGCGGCGTTGTTTTTTCGCTCCGCGGGAGGGCTCTTCGCCTACGGGATGTTCCTGCAGATATTCCACCCTTGCACAAAAAGCGTCCAGCCGATTAAAACGCATTTCATCGCCCCCAAGCCGGCCACTCTCTCCGGCGCCGTCTGAAACGCTGCTGTAGGGCGCTCGCCCCCCCCCCCGCACCCCCCCGACTGCCGTCGGAAACATCAGGAGGCTTAACGGCGTCTCTTTTTCGGAGAGGGGGGGTGGGTGTCGAATGTCGGCCTCCCGACTTCTGCTACAGGAACGGCGACAACGCCGCGTGTCAGCCACCGCCCCTTTCCTTCTGCCAGAGCCCGCACACGGCCTGTTCGCAAGGTGCCCCCCCCCCCCCGCGCCCACTCCTGGTACGGAGCTCATCGTAAGCCACCGCCGGGGCTTTTGGTTTCCCCCTTGTCGTCGACGCTCAAGAGGTCGCGGCGTAGCGGCGGCTGTGGTTTCGCTCCGGCGAGATCCTATGAATTTGCCACGACGATGAAAAGTCACCAATTCTCTCACCCGTCCCCGTCTCGTCCGTGCCGCTGGCTGTATTATCCTGGGTGTAATCTCTGCCTCTCTCATTTGTACTGCCTCGTCTCAATCATTCTGCCTGCAGTCTGTCTCACCTGTACCATCTCATCGGTGCCGCACGTAACGTTCGTCTCGCCTTGCCGTGACATCACGCGACGTGGCCAGACCAACGCGGTGCAGCCATTGGGCTCAAGCACCCCTTCTGTGCAGCCCTCGGGCGAAGTGTTATCCTGCCATACGTAGGGTGGCTTTTCTTTGCGTGGCTGCTGTAGATTTCCCGAGCAAAGTGAAACACTCCTTCATGGAATTAGCCAAATATCCCAATGCAGGACACTTCTGAGAAAGTGTCTTGAGACTCCGCGAGGCTTGCTTGGACAAATACGACATTTTTCGTTGCCGACTAATAAATTACATTATAATTTGTATTGTTATTATTCAGAAGGATCTGGAAAAATGTTCTGTATATTGTTGTGCTGGGTAGATCAACCTTGAATTCTTGACTGTATTTGTGGGGAGCGGTGGCGCTGCACTACGAACCCGGAGGCCTGAGTTTGATTCCCGCTCACGGCCAACATTGGTGACGAATAACTATCTCGGTCCTGGGCCTCCCCTCGGTCGACTCAGCCTTCAAACGAGTGGCTGGTGCGGTGTGTAAACATCAGCACTGGTGAGACAAAGGCGGCCGGGTGGGTCGAGGTGCTGGCCACCCACCCAATCGTGTGCCACAGTGCCGGCCTTCATAGGTGCTACTCGCTAACAGCACTTTCCCCAACAGCCTGCTAAGGCAAGTGGAGGGATCTTTGTCATGCTGTGGTAGGGTGGTTCACACAATTGCAGTGGTAATTGCTGTGGCCATGGCTGACATCAGCAGTTGAGTGGATACTGAACCTCCCCTAAACCATCTCAATCTGACGTAAGCACCTGCGGCGTTGTGTAAGCTGACTCACTGGGGCGACAAAGGTGGCAAAATGGTGGGTTTCTGGCCACACCACACCATCCGGCCTCTGCAGACCTCTGGTCGTCGACAGCTCTTACACCCCAGCGGTCCGTCAGCCGAGGTGGGTGGCATCCTTGTTTTCGCGCGCGTGGGTTTGTGTGTGAACGTGCAGCGTGGCACGGCGCTACAAACGCGCCGACCCGAGTTCAATTCCCGCTCACGGCCAACCGACATCGGTGCTGGGACGACTCAACCTTCAAATGAGTACGTGGGTGAGGTGCTGGGGAGACAAAGGCGACCAGGCGTGGTTCCAGACACACCCAAGACCTCGTGCTCTGTCAGCCTTCATAGGTACTCGCTGACAGCACTTGCCCCAACAGTCCATGTAGACTACACTTTATAAAAAAAATCTTGCCAGGTAGGGCTCTTTTTCAGAAGTTACCTGGCAGCAGATGATAGCCCAACGAAGTGGCTTATCATGTGGAAATGTATAGCAGCAGCCAAATACTCTGCTCACGTCTTGTTGATTCCAAACGTGGAGGGAAAAACTAGATGACCCGGAGAAAACTCCACGCGACCACGGGTAGAGAGAGAGAGACACGCAAACTCCAAATATACAGCGGGCATCAGAGTCGGAATCGAACCCACGACCTCTTGTATACCAGGCGAGGTAGACAACTTCGCCTAGCCACCATGGGGCACCTCTGCGTTTGTGTGCGAGTGAGGAGTACCTGGGCCGAGTCCTCGGGCTCCAGGGTGACGCGGCGCTTGCGGATCTCCTCCAGGCGCTGGAACACGTCACCCGTGTGCGTGTGGAAGTAGTCCGCGTAGCGCTGCGACACCGCCTCCAGTGACGCAGCCTGCAGGCACAGCCAGCACGCCCGCCGCTCACCATCCATCGCCACCCCTCCACCGCCCCCTCACCATCGCTTACCATCCCTCAACATCCATTACCATGCATCGCCATGCATCGCCACCCTTTGCCATCCACAGTGCAGTGCCGCTAACCACTGCACCGCGGAATGGCACAGAGACAACATTGACGCCCGCGCCGACCGATACTCAAATTCACCGCGTGGTAAACAAATCCCCCGCATCACTCACCAGCTCCCCCCCCCCCACCCTCAGTCGCACGTTCCCGATTCCTTGGGAAACATTAAAAGTCGAGGGGTCCAAAAAGGTCACCCCACACACCACGACGCTCAGCATCCTCTGCTGAAGCCACTGCACGGCATTGGATCCGCCCAGGGGCGAGCGTCGCAACACAAGCGGGCGCCCGGTGGCGGCCCCCCCGACGTGACACCAACGCATCGCGCTCAACCAGAGCAACGACTGCTCCAGTTTTACATTGAGCTGCTTGAGCCGGACGATTGTACGTACGTTGAACTTCTTTCAGCACCGTACGTAATATCGGAAGGAAGAGCGTTCCAGGCGGCCGCAGAAGTGCATCTGAAAGCGCCGCACGATGCGGTGATCGCCGCCTTTGTTTGATGGCCAGCCAAAAGCCGCTGGGAGGATGACCGGAGTTTGCGTGACGATGGTCGATGCTCCTTGACGGGATCAGCAAGGTATTGTGGTTCATTTGTTGCCAGCACTTTGTGTAACCAACCGACTAACCGTGTCTGGCCAACTGATGAGCACGGTTGGCTAGGTACGGTGTGAAATAATTTCAACATACATACATTTGGAGTTTTCATGCTGTCCCCGAGGTCATGTGGATTTTTTCCGGGTCCTTCGCTATGACGCGCAATGTGTTCACAGAGCAGGGCCGTGCATTTAACAATGCCGAGACCAGCATCGTCACTGGCTGCCTCCAATGTCTCGGTCGGTGCTCAGCACACACCGGTCGAACCGATCGCGGCTCACTGGAACAAACTCCCTCCGCACATGAAACAATCATCTTCACTATAACCGGCTTCTGTTCATCCCTTAAAATCCATCTCTTCTCCCTTGCCAAACATACTGCTACGTCCTGCCCCGAGCTATGGCCAGGTCTATCACTACCCCATCACTACCCCTATCACTACCCCAACCCCTATCACTACCCCAACCCCTATCACTACCCCAACCCCAAACACGACCCCGACCTCAACCCCTCCTTAACCACTACCACCTGTCCTCATAACTGTCACCATAGCTACAGCAAAACTTTGAATAACCCCACTATCTATTTTAATCACTATAATTTTGCATACAATTGTATAATTAAGTGAAAGTGTACTGGACTAAGGCACGGTATAAATCTGTATAAGACGAGAGAAGGCATTATCACGGCGATCAAACTAAAACTAAACTATCTTTATCATACAATTGTCTTATTTTTCCAGGTAAGGCCCACTGAACGACGTAGCTCTTTTTCAAAAGCCACATTGCCACAAATGATAGCTCAAAGACGTGGCTCATCATCACGTGGAAACTTATACAGGCAGGGACAACAGGTTCCACACTGCCCACCAGGGATTATTTGTCTGTCGTGCATAGCCACGCCCTCGATTTGTATTTCATAGAGCGCTTCGGGCGGGCTCAGCACCACGTGACGCGCCGCCCCACGCAGCTTGCGCCGCGTGACACGGATTGCACGAATGCGCTGTCCAACCAAGTTCCTACCTGCCCACTCCGAAGGAACGTGTTAGTAGCCAAATAGTCTAAATGCATATTTTTTAATCTAGAGGAGAAAAATCCACGCGACCATGGGGAGAACACGCAAACTCCAAATATACGGGTGTCATGGTCGGGATTGAACCCACGACCTCCTGAGAACCAGGAGAAGTAGTGAACATTTCACCACTGTGACACCCATAGTGCATAGTTCCAGCGGCTTCCTAATATTGGAAGGAAGATCATTCCAGACGGCCACAGAAGCGCATCTGAAAGTGCCGCGGAATGCGGCGACCAATGTCTTTGTTTGATGGCCAGCAGCCAAAAGCCTCTGCTGCTGCTGCTGCGAGGATGAGCGGAGTTTGGTCCTCAATGGAAGCCAGTATGATGGTCTCAGCCTGGTCACCAATGACTACTGGCAAGAAACCCAAAAAGTATACAGCCCAAACACAAACAAAACATTGTACAACCACGGACAGACTAATGCCCATTTGAAGACGAGAATTTAGTGTTCACCTTGTCACACAGGGACAGCTGCCACTGGGGTTTTCCCTTGGCTAGACTGCAGCAGGGCAATGGAATGGTTCAGGCACGATGCGATGCAAAAGGCGCTTTGAGTCGCTGAGGCTTTTAATCACCCTTATGAATGCAACTCACATCCATACCACGCATTTTATACACCACGGAGGGATGACGATGGTGACGATGGTGACGATGGTGGCGATGGTGGTTTGAGGGGACCCACAACCAGGATACCAACTCGTGCCCTCCGTGGCATGTTGCGTCGCGCTCGTGCGTGCGGTCCGCGCCAGCCGCAGCGCCAGCTCGGCTCGGTCCCATTAATCAGCTGTCCTTTACAGTGTTATCGAAGGCGCTAGTTTAAGTGAGATATGGCCCGAGACCTTTGCATTAGGCTAAAACGCCGGTGATATTTTTTTTTTCCCTTTTAAATGTCCTTTGGAATGGAAAGGATCTCCAATGGCTTTGCCTGCTAGTCTGACGCTGAGTTACTGTGTTCATCGATAACGACCTCGCGTGCGCCGGGGATGTCGCGCGACGCTCGCGTCGTACAAACGCTCTCCTTGTCGAATCCCGATCGCAATCACGTAGCATCACGGTCCAAGGCGCAGCGGTGGCAAGATGTTAACTATCTCGTCTGGTGTACGGGAGGTCGTAGGTTCGATCCGGATCCTGACGCCTGCCGTATATTTGGAGTTTGCAGCTCTCTCTCTCTCTCTCTCTACGTCTCTCTATTCGCGGTCACTGGGGCTTTTTCTCTGGGTCCTCCGGGTTTTCCCTCCACATTTAGAATCAATGTCACACGTCTCGAGCATTTGGCTGCTGTAAATTTTCACGTGATATGCCACTCTGCTGAACCATCATTTGTGGCCAGGTATCTACTGAAAAAGAGCTATATACCTCAGTGGGCCTTACCTAGTAAAATAAAAAATAGTTTAGTTTTAGTTTATATGTCCGCACGTCAGCATGTGTAGAGTACTTGACTGGCATATCTCCTCAAAGACCAACTCAGCTCAATCATCATCAACACCACCACCACCACCACCGTCCCATCATCATTATAATCACTGGCTCTGTCCTACGATAATCATCATTATTATCATCATCATTATCACCACCGTCATCTTCACCATTATTATCACCTCCACCACCGGCCTATCATCATCGCCACATCATCAAATATCATCATCATCAGCATCATCAGCATCATCATCATCATCATCAGCTCGTTATGACCGCAAAAATGAATGCCACTTCCTGGGGAAGCCATCATTGGTCGTTCTGTCGACAGACCGGAGACTCGACCGCACCACGGGAATGTGGAATTTCCATCATTCGCCGAGTTCCGGCAACAGAAACGAGTGCGAGCCCACTGTCATTTGAGCAGGAACTGGCCAAACTTTCTAGGTAGGAACTTCCTGATTGAAAGGGTCCCGAGACTCATTGGTGCTTGACTCTGTAAATGAAGGACTGTGAATGTTGTTTAGAATTAGCTGTGATTACTGTGGCAAGAGGTGACAGAGTCCTAGTCGTGGCGGTCCTTGGATGTTACATCGCTTCACAGTGTGCGTACGTATGTTGAACTTCTTTCGCACCGCATGTGCCAATCGGCAGCGCTGTTTTACGTCACGGCACAGTCGTGGCGGTGGTACACCGTGACGCTGTGACATTGGGTTGACATTAAAAATGATCATGTGTCTGTGTGTTAAAGTCAATTCCGTCCTATTTTTAACCACGTGAGACATCATCGAGATGCATTATCCATTTTATAAGGGAGAAGCTGAAAATAATGAGTGATGTTGGCAGATCAACAGTTGCGTTACTTACTTGAACAAAGTCAATGTCAGACAGAGCTTCACGCCGCTAAAACGAACGTTTGGGTGGCGATCACCGCAGCTGTGCTGTTCCAGTGGTGGAAATTCCACGTTGTTATGGCAGGGTTCTCACGTATTGTTTGTTACCGCAGCAACAATACGAGTGTATTTGAGAGTGATGCTTCTGTCATGGATGAGGTTGACCAGCTCTCACTTATCTAGGGCAATGTGGCCCAAGTAAAACTAAAACACGGACGATGTAAATCACGAGTGATGATAATAATAACGATGATGATGATGATTACATCAAATTGTAAAGCGCCGCCGCACCGTGTTCACTCGTTGCTCTCGTACAGAGATACAGAACGACTCGGGGGGGGCGCGAGGAGGAACCAGAGGCAAGCAGGAAGGCAGCAGCAACGCGATGAGCCGCGCTTACAATTGCCCAAGCACCGCCACCCTCTATATATGAAGGTCTTATCGGCCAATTAACGAGTGTTTAAACGGAACGCATTTTTATTTTTACCAGCTGAGGCCCACTGAGCTCAACGAAGTGGCTTATCATCACGTGGAAATTTATAGCAGCCAAATACTCTCAACGCCTGACGTTGATTCTAAATGCCGGGTTGAAAAACCAAAGCACCTGGAGAAAAATCCACACTACCAAGGGGAGAGAGACATGAAACTCCAAATATACACGTATCAGGATCTCCATGTAATACCAGACGAATAGTTAACATCTCGCCACCCTCAGCGCCCCACATGTTTGCATGTGGGAGGGAACCCACGGGTGCGAGGGAGAAACACTCTATCCCATACAGATGGAAGAGGTGGAGTCAACATTTTTGCTGTGATGCCTTCTCCTGGCGAGCGACGGTATAAGGCACCTCAGTATCCACGGGAAGCAGAGTGTCACAACCTTTGTGCAC